CAAAACCCAATTTCAGACACCTTCAAACTGAGCCAGTGAACCTTAGCACCAGTGGGCCATGGATGGAGAGGGGTGCCAAGGCTTTAAATAACTATCTCATACACAAAAAGCAAACATTCTCCATCTCTTCTACTGGCTGTAGCCCTGAGAGTTGTCTCTCTATCTGAAGACCTTGGGAAACCCAGCAATTCCTGAGACTTCAGCCAGCACTCTTGAGATTTGCTAGTCCTTTCAGATGGGTATATATGCTCTTGTACACCACGTATAGGATCCTACTTTTCACATACACTGGCAAATGCTCCAACAACACCCAAGGATGGTCTTTTCTGTTCTTTGGTGGCAAGTAACCCTACAGAACATACATAGTGCAGAAGACAGCCAGGAGATGAGTTAAGTCAGCCTGGAGTCAAGAATGGGAACTCACAAGGCATTGGTGTTTTAAAGGAGCAGGCAAAGATTTTGGGCAAGAAAAAGGCAGAGATCATATTCAGGGAGCAATGCTACTAGTTCCTGAAGCAGTCAAGGAATAGGCCAAAGAGGAGTCGAGGGGCATGTTGAGGTCAAGAAGCCAAGCGAGTTAAAGAGGCTGGAATGTGAGGAAGCTGGAAACAGGGAGTACAACCAGGCTGAGGCAGAAGTTGAATCCAACAAGCCCAGATATCTGGCATGGATGTTTTGTACTCAGCTATCTGGAGAACACATCTGATATTAATTAGGGCTGCTTCTGTTACTTGCCTCTCTTGCAGTCTAACACTCCTCTGCTGTTGGTTTCTCTCCAGCTATGGATAATGTCAATGTCTGTCTCTAAAGATTGGTAACTGAGCATCAGGGGTTGCATCCACACTACAGAAATAATCCAGTTTGAGACTGCTTCATCTCCAAGGCTCAGTGCTATGGAATTCTGGAAACTAGTTTCTTGTGGCACCAGAAAAGAGCTTTGGCCCAGTGGACCCAGCATTGCTCTGATTGCCAGAGCCCTCAGTTTCCCAGTGATTCTTCTCACCAGGGCTCATCCTCTTGGCACTCCTCTTATTTTGAGAATTATCTTTTCCATGGGCCAAGATGCATTCCCCATCTCTGTGCTAACACAAATGAGTATCTCCAGCCTTTGAATGAGGGTGAGGCCATAGCTGATTGGGAGATTTCAAGAGCTGTAACTTTTCCAGGTCCTGGAACCAATATGTTTAATATTCTCTATGGCTATATCTGCACTGCAGAAATAATCCAGCTGTAGTCTGTTGAAGAACCAGAGCTCTCAGACAGAGAAGCCTAAATGTCTCTCAAAAACTACAATTCCCAGAATCCCATAGCATTGGGCCATGACAGTTAAAATGGTGTCGAAATGGATTATTTCTGCTGTGCAGATGCAACCTGTATGATCCTTTTTAGATTTTTATTTTTATTTTGGCTGTACCAGAATCAAACTTTAACCAAGAGCTATTCTACTTCCTCCTTGAATCCCCCCCCCCAAGTCCCTTGCCACTAACATGGTTTTCCACCTTTTCTCTAGCACACTCTGTTTTATTGTTGTTTTGTTTTTTGCATTCTGTCAACTTCAAATGGCCTGTGTTTAGTTATCACACATCTGCAGGTGACAAAAACATTGGTCTGAGCAGATGGTGGCTTGTGCTCAAAAGGCTCTAGCAAAGCTTGGCAATCTCTTTCAGCATAAATTCAATTTTAGCAGTTCTCAGGAGGCTGCATTCCAGTGATGGGTGGGGTTAGAGGCAAACAAGGGCCTTGTTCCCACTAGGATTTAACCCGGTTCTGATCCTACTGTGTTCGGCTTAAATCATGATGAAGTGAGGCAAATGCAAAAGAACTGTTCTTTCCTGACACTAGTTTTGGGGCGGTTCTTTTGAAAAGACCTGAATCCAAATTGTGTTCAACAAGTGAGAATGACGGGTCAGATTCGCATCCAGGGGCTGCGCCGATTCTTGCCGGCTTCTCTCAAGCCTTGGTATTCTGGGGGCTGTGCCAGCTTTTGCTAGCTTCTTTTTCCTTGCCAGCCTTTGGAGATCCAACACACACACTCCTCCTTTCCTTGCCAGCATTTGGAGACCCAACACACACACACACACTCCTCCTTTTCTTACCAGCTTTTGGAGACACAACACACACACACACACACACACACCTTTCCTTGCCAGCCTTTGGACGCACCAGAGGGCAGCCCATCCGGAGGAGGCGGAAAAGGAGCTGCCGGGGCCCAAGCTTTCCCGCCATGCCACCACCCCTCGTCTATTTGTTGTTATTGTGTGCCTTCAAGTCATTTCTGACTTAGCAAGGTTTGCTCAGAAGGAGTTTGCCTTTTCTTTCCTCTCCTCCTCTTCCTCTCTCCATGGTAGCCATTCTTCTTCTCTCCCCTCAAGTGTGAACAACACGGGGGATTAAAAGGGGAGTAAATGGCCCCAGAGAGATTTGATCACAAAATAACCCGGTTTCTACATTGTGGTGGGAATGAGCCCAAGGCTGCACCAGAAGTACCAGCATATTTGAACTGAAAGCACTTACTGCCAAAAACTAAACCTTAGGAGAGGTTTTTCAAACTTGCAGAACGTGAAGAGGAAGGAATAAAAATCACACAAAAGCTAGGAAACCATGCAGTGGTGGGAAAAGGGTGGGTGAAGCCTGTGTGGAACTTCTTGGGCCTTAGCATCAAGGCTACCCATCTCCAAGCTACAGTTTCTTGCTTTTGCAGGGATTCAAAGGATTCCCTTACAACAGGTGTACACTCACAACTTGTTATAAGGCACATCTTCTAGAACTGTCAGTATCAGCAATAGCGAGGGGTCACAAGCATCTTCAGAAGCACTGGACAAGCTAAGAAGCCACATTAGATCCCTTCAGGGTATCTTGGAGGGCTTCATGCACTCTCCACAAATAAAATGATTTTTACCCCAGATGGCTCCCAACCCTCTTTAGGGGGTTTCACTATGTTTTTAGGCTTCCTTGGGCCATTTTACTATAAATCACATCCTGTTTTTTTTTTTTTTTTTTTTTTTAAAAAAGGCCTCTCCTGGGCCTAAAATGGCGCACTTTGTGTGGCAGAACCATGTTGAAAATGTTTCTGTGTTCCGTAGAGAACATTTTGGGGTAATATTTCATCCACCATTTCAGAGATAAAAACTGGGACACATGTGGCCAAGCAAGTTCAGAGTGTGGTCAGGATGGTAAAATGTATTAATGAGGAGGAACACAGAAGCCAGGAGAGGCTGCAGAAGTTTTCTTTTACCTGAGCCTATCAGGAAGGGCAAGATTTTGCCTATTCCTCTCCTTACTTTTTAAGAGCACCTGAAAAAGTGGGATGACAGAAGATTAACAGGGACCGTCATTGTCAAATAGGTACAATTGGAGGCACTTTTTTTTTTTAACCCCTGGGGGAACCTGCATCTTGATCTACCGGGCTGATTGTTCTGATTCAGGCAGGACAGGCCTACAATTAGTACAGAAAGGGACTGTATCTGGCTAGCTCTACCCATGGCTCTTATGTTATCTTAGAATTTTACTAGCATTAAGCATGAATGAAACATTGCATTGAATGAGGCCAGCATGACTTTTTGGAATGACAAAGCTTTGCAGCAATTTGGTGTATTCAGAGCCTGATCATTTTGGAGCTGGGGCAGCAAGGAGAGAAGAGCTGCCAGCCAGCAGTACACAGATTATTTCCCGCACAGAATCCATTTTTTAAAAAACCCACTCACTGCTCCAAATTACTCAGTTGCCAACTTAAATCCTGTTAACAACAGGAGCTGAACTAAGCCAATGTATATCGAGGGCTAATTTGGAAAGCAAAGCCATTCTTATGAAGATAAATAAATCTCAGAATGCTACCTGTCCATCGGCACTATTTATTCTTTACAAAGCACTGAGATGAGAAACTATGATCCTACAAGTGTTTGTGGATTTCAGTTCCTATACTCTTTCACCTTCCACTGTGCTGACTAGAGCAGTTGGAGGGCTGGGCCACAGTTGCTTTTCTCTGATTTTCTGCCTGTGTCTATGGAGATTTTCAGACCTGGAAAAAAAAGCTGGGAGTGAAAGGCATACTCCCTGCAAAGTTGCGTGATTGCGCTGAAGATTTTCAGAATAGATCTCACTTATTCAGGACTTATCCCATGAAGATCCAAGAAATTTCCTGCAACAAACCATTCATGGAGAAGTCCTGGAAATGGTTTCTTGCTGGAGCATTCCTGGTTCTTCCCAGGATAAGTCCTGGATAAGCGCGATGTCATCCAAAAATTTTCAGCGTGATCGTACAATTATCCTGGGAATATGTCTTTTTTCTTCCCCGATTTTCTCCTGTCTGATAATTTCCCTAGTGTTTCTAGTTCCTGCTGCTCTCCATTTGCTGCCACTACTTTGTTTTTGTTGTTGTTGTTGTGTGCATTCACATCATTTCCAACTTATGATGACCCTAAGGCAAACCTATAATGGGGTTTTCTTGGCAAATTTCTTCGTAGGGGGTTTGCCATTGATATCCTCTGAGACTTACCCCCTAAGCAGATGGCTTAAAGGGCCGTCTTGGGGGCAGGGAAGGGGAGGGGCAGCTGCACGCTTGGCGCCCCAACCCCCTCCCGAGGTTGTCCTTGGAGCAGCTGGCCCTCCGCACGGCTGGCGCTCCGAGGAGGACCTCCCGCCGCAGCGTTCAGACATGCTGTGGCGGAAGAGTCGCTGAAAGTGCACCACAATCTTTTGCGGTGCACTTTCAGTGACTTATGAAAGGAGCGCTAATTTAGTGCTCCTTTCAGGGGCGGCGAAGCTGCGCCACAGGATCGAGGCATGGGGATGCCTCGGTCCTGTGGCGCAGCTTCCCAGGGTGGCCCACGGCCGCCCATCTGCTTAGCCCCTTAGAGAGTGTGACTTGCCAAAGGTCACCCAATGGGTTTTATGTTTGAGAGGGGATTCAAACCCTCATCTGCAGAGTCACAGTCCAACACTCAAACCACTATGCCACACTTGCAGACTACACTGCTGAAAATTAGCAGCACTGCTGCTGCAGAGGAGGAACTTCTTTATTTTCTGGATGGCAAAGAGACATTCATGGAGAATCTGTTTTGGCTATTTAGTTACATGTGTTGTTGTTAACTGTCCTTGAGTCAATCTTAACTCATGGCGATCCTATGGATGAGACATCTCCAAGACCCTCTGTCCTCCACTGCTCTGCTTAATTCTTGCAAAATGTTTCCTGGCCCAATTCCCTATGTTTGCTTAACAGTCAACAACCACATTGGGTGAAAGAGGTCTCTTCATCTGCTGATAGGGGCTCAAGGAGAATTACATTTCCAGACTCTGCCCATCAGCGAGCAAGTTTGCCATGAGGAATTGCAACAAGAGTCCTGTTTCTGATTGTCACAGCATCACCTACTGGTGGGATGGGGTTGGAATCCTCCTCCTCCTTCTGGCCTGGTCAGCAGCTGAACAGATCACCTTTCCCAATGTGGCTGCTGGTTGCTAAGGTAGGCTGAGGCTGGCATTTAGTCTTACTGAGTACAGAGTACAGAGAATGCAAACACATACCTGTGTCAGTACGGAAAATCAGTATGCAAAGGATCTTGTAACACCTTTGAGATTAACTGAAAGAAAGAAGTTGGTAGCATGAACTTTTGTAGACTTGAGCCTACTTCCTCAGATGCATGTAGTCTCAAAGGCGCTACAAGATCCCTTTGCATGCTGAATACAGACAAGTTACAGATCCTTAAAGTTAGGTTATGAATCTGCAGCTGCAATACAGAATGCCAGCTGTTCTGCATTAAGGGTCTCTGGTGGAGGATGGTGGCACCCTCATGTACCACAGGAAGATGCTACAGCTCCCCCATCCAATTTTGACAACCATGGGATTGGCAACATCAGTTGCTGCTAATGAAGTACAGCAGTACAAGCAGTGTTGCAATCCACAGGGTTGCCAAGAGGCTCAGTGCAGACTCCTCAGAAGCTCTGTTAAGGATAGCCAGTGGGGAGGCATGTTGGGAGTTGCAGTCCAACAGCAACTGGAGAATCACATGTCCTCATTCCTGCTTTTGCAGCTATACTGTCCTGGTTCTCAATTATTGGTTTGGAACCAGGTTTTCCCCAGTTCACAGTGTCCTACATCATTTCTGCCTCAATCATCCTTTTTTCTGTCCTATTTTCTACCCATGCGGGTTGTTTTGTTAAAGAAATCTGGCATTTGCTTAGAGAACAGCAAGCTTCTGGATTATGAAACTGCCACTGGACAGCCTCTTTGGAGCAGTCTATGCTTGATGGATGTGCTTTGCTCTCAGTTCTAGTAGATAGTTGTGAGCTGATGGATGAGCTTCACCTTCTCCAGATCCTCAGGGTCTCATGTCATCAAAGGAAGAGTGCTGTTTCTTGCAAGGCAGCCAGAGGGAAATCTGTCCAGCTTGATGACTTATGTAGCAGTGGTTTGTACTGCTTGCAAGCCTTCTCTATATTCAGCAAGATTGGCCAGACAGCTGGAAGTCCATGCCAAGCAGAGGCCAAAACATTAGGCAAGATCCGGGAGAAGAAGGAGGTGATGGCTTGATCCTTGATCAGGAACAAAAGCACAAGCAGCCATAAATAAGATTACTTCAGTTGCAAGAGTTTGATGACAGATTTTTATTATGAGCTTTGTTCCTTGGTTCATCTTTTTTCAAACCATCAGCCAAATGCTGTACTTAAGCTGGAGATGTGCATCTGCTTCTGAGGAAGAGCAAATACTGAACCAAATGGAGCCATTTCAAAGGTATCCAGACCTTCTCTGAAGGGACACTTTCCTGTAGAAAATGATATTGGTTTATCATTTAAGCTTCAGATTTGTTGGATTGCATGGTGGAGGCTGAGAATACTGGCTATTTTTCTCATCCTCATCAATCTCTTAAGATTTTCAGATGTTGGGGGGGGACCTATTTATTCATGAGAAAAAATAGTTTGTTTTTTTTCCAGGGGAGGAGAATGTGCACAGGAAAAAAATTGTTCAGAAAATATTCTACTTTACACAAAACACATTGGTTGTTTTTTTTCAAAGAAAAGGGTTTTTTGCCTACGTGCACAACTTTACAAAAATGTTTTGAGGTGGGAAAAACCATTGAAAAATGTGCAAAAACACTTACAGGTTCACCCAGCAGGAAGAAAACATTTGACAAAATTTGAAATACCTTTGAAATATCAAAATCCATGGGTGCTCAAGTCCCATTAAATACTGTGGCATATAAAAATGATGTCCTTATATAAAATAGCAAAATCAAGGTTTACAATTTGGGATATTTTTTTAAATATTTTCAAGCAATGGATGGTTGACTCCATGGGTAAAGAATCAGTGAATATGGAGAGCTAACTGTATTTATTTAAGTCCTCAAGGTCCAACCTTTCCCTTGTTCCTAAAGCAGCCTATCACTTTTTTAAAAGTGTGGGTCCTCTTTCTCATGCAAGGAGGAATTTATAACTTAATGGATATAGTCAGTCCCCCTCTTCTAATTTCATGTAATAAGCTATCCAGAACAGGAGGGTCAAATGAACAGGTAATTGGGTGATTACTACAGGATTCTGCTAAAAAAAGTTCTTCTTGTTCCGATTTCAGGTTTTGGACTTTTTCCTCCCCCCAAAAGAGAGATTATTTTGAAGGCACCCATTTCCCAAAGAAATGGGAAATACCATGGCATGGGCAAGCCATGTATTCAAAGGGATATCTTTACACTTCAGGATCTTGTCTAGTTCCTTCATAGCTGCTCTTCCAAGTCCTAGCCTTTTGATTTCTTGACTGCAGTTTCCATTCTGATAAATGATTGATGGATAGTGGAATTAATTGATAGATAGCATGATCAACAAAGAACATATTTGTTAATTAGAGATACTTAGCAGGCTTGATCCCAGGCTTTTGGCTTTGCAAGATAGTGTAGCAAATAGTACTTTCCTCCTTTCCCTGAGAATAAATATTCAATAATAATAAATAGAGAAACTAACAATTTGGTGCACTTTCATGTTTCCCCAAAACAGCCGCCTGAGGTAGCCAGTTGGCTCTGCCCAATAACTAAGGCCAAATATGGTTTTCAGTATACTGCTTTCTATTTTCAGTACCTTGATTAAAGGCTTCCAGAAAGCTAAAAACAGGCTGTATAGACTAGTATGGTGAAGTCTAAAAAAGAAAGAAAGAAAGAAAGAAAGAAGTGGTCAGTTTGATTTTTTTGATTTTTTTCAAATAATGGCAGTGCAACATACTTGGATCCCACAGAAACCCTTGGTCAGCAGTTCTGTAAACATCTTCTCAGCAGCTACTTTTTCTAGAGACCCAGATGGAAAAGAACGTATTAATTTTTTTACACTTGCAACCTGCCTTCAACAAGGCTAAGGCAGCATCTTCCTTCCAAATTCAGTCTCACAATACTGTGAAGTATTGAAAGAATGAAAGTTCAGGCTGAAAAAGAGTGAAATGACTTCACTGAGCAGGGACTAGAACCCAGATTTCCTAAGTCCCTGGACAAGGGGTCACTCACATGCTGGGAGTCAGAGGGTCATTTTCATCATCGGTTGAGCCTGCTTGGGCTGTACAACTCCAGCTGTCATTTTGTGCAAAGGAAAGTAATGTTTAAGGTTACTTTCTGGGTCTTTTTTTCTGTTCAATGTACTCTCCTCCAACAACTAAAGCTAAACTACTTTCCAGTTGAAAAATTGATTATTTGGTCCATTTTTTGTGTGGGGTGGATTGCTAGGATTCTGGACTTGGGGGCTGCAACAGACCCCACTTCTTAAGGACTACATTGCAGCCCACATGATTCCCACCCTATCCTAGTCCATCACTATAACAACTGCATGACCTCTCAATAAGGATGATGTAAAACACAATACAGGCCCAAGGACCAGTCTATGTTTGTTATGGTAAGCACGGTAAAGTATGGAGCAGGGGAACACAACCAGAAAGTAAGAGAGATCGATCATCAAAGTGACAGTAAAAGACATCAAAAGATTAAATACAGACTAGGGGGAAAAATCACACACACACTCCTAAATAAACACTTAAGAAATATATTAAGGGAAATAAATCTGATATTTATAAAAATAAAATCACAACATTATGAAAGGAAATCTGATATATACAAAAATAAATCCAGAATATTATGCAAAGAAATCTGATATATACAACAATAAATGGAAAATATTGTGTTAAGAAAGCTGGTATATATAAAAATATGTACAAAATATGTGAATATTTTGTATTTATTTTTCATAGATCAGGTTTCTTTATTTTTTCGAGTTTATTTAAAAGGGTTTAAAAAAAAAAAAACTATCCAGCAAGTGCAAAGGAGAGACAAGTGCAAAGAAGAGACAAGTATGGAATTTTAACTGTTGTAAGCCTCCCCGATTGTTTGACATAAGGGCGGGATATAAATAAGATTATTATTATTATTATTATTATTATTATTATAGTGTAAGCGTAGGGCGGACATGCACCAGGTATTTTGTTGACATTCATACTAAAAGCAAGAGCAGATTCACCACTCTACTGACATGAAAGCCATGGGTCACCACTGGTGGATATGTGAAAAGGCACTGCATCAGTTCACATTGCTCAAGTCCACACACACTCCTGCTCAGGGCAAGATCTCCAACTAAAGCATCCCCATCAGGTATCTGTTCAGCTTTTTTTCTGAAGATGTCCAGAGGACGATACTCCCCCACCTCTCTAGGTAATTGGTTCCATTGCCAAACCGCTCTTAGTGTCAGAAGTTCCTTCTAATGTTCAATCAAAATCTCCTCTCCTGTATCTTCAAACCAATAGGCGCAGTGGCATCACTAGGGGGTTGTGGTGGTACAGCCTGCACCAGGTGCCCCACCACATGTGCTGTCCCTGCATTTCCCCTGTGCCGTCCCCATGCTCCCCACACACGTGGCCCCCCACTCCCCCCATGCTGTGTCTGCACTTGTTCCCCTGGCGCCATCCCTGAGCTCCCCCCTGCATGCCGTCCCATCCTTTTCCTCATCAGG